GGATGCTTAGATCCCCTTTATTCCTTTGAAACTCTCTCCCTAGTTCCTATGTACAGTAGCTTCTCAATTGTTTTATTTTTTGTTTTTAAATATCAGAGGGGCACTGGTTCACAGGAACCCGCAGGACTGCAAAATTTATTATTTCAATGTCACTTTCTTTTTGTTTATCTGAGGGGAGCACAAAAGCATCTGAAACTATGTTTTTTTTTTTGGTTCTTGCTTAAATAAATAAAAAGGCCAGTTATGTTTCAGATTTGGAAAATAAATTCTCTCTCTCTCTCAGGATGAGAACATGACTGTCACATTTTATCCTTGATTTTTTTTCTTTGTTATATGAATTATAATTCATATACATTAGAGATGACTCAGAACCACAAATATTTAGGTCTGCTTCTAGTCTTTCCCCAAAGCAAAGCTCAGTTGGTTTACAGCTTTGGTTTGGATCAGGCTTCTCTATGTCCACTCAATGTACTGCAGTACTCTGTTTTAGTGTATAGTCACCAATGAGACAGCCAAATGCATAACATCCTAACAACCCCCTCTCCCTCTCAGCTATTGGTTTGGGACCATATAGGATACTCCATCAAAATCAGGACTGTTTATTATTTAAATCTTTGTAATTACGCTATTTATTTTTGAAATTTTTCTCACAATAATAAAAATGGATGTTTTTCAGAAAAACATCCATTTTTATTATTGTGAGAAAAATTTCAAAAATAAATAGTGTAATTACAAAGATTTAAATAATAGTATGGTAGTATCCATAAACAAACATTTCCCCCAAATCCCTGCTTTCCTATAAGTGAAAAAGTTGCTGCCACTCCACTCTGTCAAAGGCTTTCTCCAGAACCAGGGACATTGTAAGTCACAGATTCTGTTTGGCCAATGGCATGAGTAACAACCTGATGTTCTTAGAGCCATGCTTTCCAGTTATAAAACTCTCACTTGACATTTTGGTCACAATTTTTCATGTGTCTCAATATGCCAAACAAGTACTCAGAATTAAAGATCTTTTCTGATGAGAATAGGCCAGCCTTCCAGACATGTATCCACTTTGAAGCATAATATGCCTCATTAAATGACAATAAAGTACTAGCTTTTTCAGTGTGTAATTAAAGATGTATCAAAGAGAAGAACAATATTTGTGGCAAATATTTTATAAATCTCTTACCACAAGCATTTCCTACAACTAAGAAGTTTTTAGGCTCACTAATTTCAACTTCACCTATGTCTTGCTTAAATTCCTGGGACTGGGCTTTGGGCAGCTTGAAAAGTTTGAGTATTTAAATGAGTTTGACTTCTGTTTTTGAAAGATCGGAGAAAATGCTGTAGCTGTCTTTTAAGTGGTGTTTAAAACTGGTTACAAGTTTTCAAATGCAAAATATTCATTTTTAAAAAGGTCTGTTTTAAAAAATTGGATATTTTAGTGAAAAATATCTTTGGTTGTGGGTGGTTGTTTTCCATTTAAAAAAAATGTAGATTCTTCTTGGTTTACTTTTTTCCTCCTGTCATCTTCCTTCCTCTATGCTTCTTTCTTAGCAAAAAAGGAAATAAACAAAAAGCAGTGGGAAAAGGGGAGGGGAAACAAAATTAAATTAAAAAACAAAAAATCAACCCCTAAATATTAAAAAACAAACAAAAAAACCCCCCAACCCTTCAAAATAACAATAACTGAGCATTTTCTAAATGGATAATAATTCTGAATACACAAAAAAAATCATTCCTTTTTGAAACCCCTGGAATTCAAATTTAGGAAAATTTTTCATGAATTCTCCCTCCTCCTCCCACCGCACACCTATTTGTTGACCAGCTGAAGTGTTGTTGGTGCAGTGACACATAGAAAAATGAATGAGGCTTGCATGGATTCAGATGGATGATCAATGACACATTCTTGTGGGAGGTTAGGAACAAGTCTGAGGACGGAGTGGCTTTAGGATAGAGTATATTTGTGTAGGTAAAGAGGGTACACTGACTTAGAACGACATAATGTTCAGCTCTGGGATCAGTTATACAGTAACTACTTTAAGATGATGTTGCTAGTCATATAGAGACAAATACAGTCCCATTTTAGCCAAACCACAAAAGTTTAGGGATAAGATAATAGTTTCCAGTTCTTCTCCAAACATCTGCAAATAAAAACACCATTATATGATCAGCAAAAATAACGAGGAGTCCTTGTGGCACTTTAGAGACTAACAAATTTATTTTGGCATAAGCTTTTGTGGGCTAAAACTACTTCATCAGATGCATGGAGTGAAAAATACAGTAAGCAGTATCTATATTACAGCACATGAAAAGATGCAAGTTGCCTTTCCAAGTCGGGGGGGGTCAGTGCTAACAAGGCCAATGCAATCAAGTTGGACGTCACACCTTGTCTACTGTGATGTTTTTTATATATATATATATACTGCTTATTTATATATATATATATATATATACTGCTTATTTTTCATTCCATGCATTTGATGAAGTGGATTTTAGCCCATGAAAGCTTATACCCAAATAAATTTGTTAGTCTATAAGGTGCCACAAAGACTTCTCGTTGTTTTTGCTGATACAGACTAACACGGCTATCACTCTGAAACATGATTATATGATCAGTGTACCAGTGCTGCGCTGGTAAAAACTTACGCCACATGCTGAAGTGGAGGATATGTATGTGCAGGAAAATGTTCCTTGCCCTCCCACTTTGAAAATTTGCCAGAAAATGCCTAAAACACAAAAGACTGAAACAAAGGTTTTTAACCTTTAATGCCTTAAACTGGTTCATTCCTCGCTACCACAGACACCTTATCTTCCCAGCTCCTAAAATAATCTGAAGAGCTCATGGTAAGAACCAGGCTGACTTAATCACAAGGACCTGTAGAGGCAGCACATTGCTAGTGAGAAGTCCTACCAAAGCCAAATTTGTTGAAGTTCAGCCTGAAATTCAAGTTATACTTCAAAACCTATTTGTTCTCCCAAGCTTTGCCTATATGGATGAGAAGGTGGGTAAGGATGGTGAGAGAAGTTTGGTTCTGGAGACATCAGTCTGTTGGCCTAAATTGCTATCAAGTTTTATGAGGGTAACTGTACATTTTAAAAATTGAAATAAACAAACATGAGTCATGGTAATGGCCCTGCCAGAACTAGGAAAGAAACATGCTCTAGTTAAAAAACATGTGAACACAGGATAAAACAGAGATGTAATGTGCAAGATAATGAAAGTTCTGTTATGGGTAGTGTAAAATCTAGTTGCACTCTGAGTGAGGTTAATAAACTTTTTAGTTATTTTTGCAAAGGATTTACACAGATGAATTACATGAAACTCATGGCTCATAAGGCATGAGACCAATCATGAGCTCAAGCAAGCACAGGCAGTACTAGAAAGGGAAACTTGGCCACAGAGATTAAAAATACATTTGTGGACAACAATAAACTTCGAAATTAAGGATTAAATTTATGACCTGTTTTTGGTTAACCATAGTTTTTCTCAGGTCCATCACATGCTTTCAGCTTTATCAGTTTGACAAAAGTATTTCTAAAAAGGTCCTGCTGGCAATTTAAACCTATAGAGACCAGGCCCAAATTGGTGCCACTTTCCTGGCAAAAGCAGAGATGATCTTTCATTGTGTATTGGTATAGTACCTAGCTCAATCTTGATTGGTGCCCATAGGTGGTATAGTAATACAAATAATAAGTAATAGTTCCGGTTCTACTTTTAAATAAAATTTATCAAAAATTGCTGTGCTACTCTAAGGCTTAATTGGAGATAGACTACTTTTATGTGGGATTTGGAATGCAGCAAAACCTGGTAAATGAAAGCAGAAAAGAAATAGAGATAAATAACCTGGTTTAATCTGGAATATATGCAATTTGATATTGACCACAGGTTTGAGGTCAATATGAAATTGATAGGGCTAGGAAAAATTCTTCTGCATTTGTAAAACAATCAAATTCCGAACAGTGCACATATCAGGCTCCTTCTGTAGAGGGGGTGCCGTTAGGGAACAGAAAATGAGAGAGAGGTTTTTTACTGTAGTGTGCACAAGTGCAAGAGTGGTTTTATATGTACTTGCATAGCATTGGTTTTTAATTGGTCACAGATCATAAATGACTAGAAATCATTTGTTTTCAGAAACGTAAACCATGTGCAAGAGTAAAATGTTAGATATTATGGCAGCAATCGCATTATTTTAGAGTGAGGGTACAGATTCATTTCAGAAAATGAAGGTGATGATCTTTTACAAGTTCTTCAAAAGAGAATGAGAACTAAAGTGAGGCAAAAATAACCCCCCCTCACACTTGCTTACTTGCATTGGGTTTGCTGACAAAAGCAAAGGAATTCAGAATTAAGGTTGCCACAATGTCAGTTCATCCTGAATTTGCACCATTGTGCCTTCTTGTTGCAATGGATTCAAAACTTCAGACAAATGGGTCAAATCCAGACTGCTCTAAGAAGGTGGAATTCCAGTCAGTTTTTGCCTTCTTACTGTAGGTCTGAATTTGGCCCTGTGTGTGATCCTACATACCATATATACAACAAGATCTGCTTAGTGATTTTGCACAATGGTAAGGATAGATTTCTTACCTTTTCTCAGTTAATTCTATTTAAATTGGTTCTGCTCTGAAAATTGATTCTGTAAAAATGGTGGTCGTATTATCTCTCAGTGATTTCCCTACAAAGTATACTCAGTTTTCATGTAAAAAGATGCTGGGTTTTTATTTTAACTGCGCATTCCTACAAACTTAACCTGGGATCTGAGACCCAAGCTGGGCGCTTTTCTTCACACATCATTATTAGTAATAAATGCTCAGCAGGCTGAATCATGCCCTAAATTACTCCTCTGCAACACCATTGTCTTCAGATTCTTGCTTTCAATACAGGTTTGCAGAGCTGTGTAATTGATTGGAATCTAGTATGCAATTTTGTTGTTGATGAAGGGATAGAATCTATCTCCTGTTCTGAGCTGTGCTGGCTCTGCAGGGCTAATAGAAGATAGAAACTTTTTTTTTCTTACCTTTTCTGGTCACTTGCATGAGCCTGTGGCCCTGAAAGTGCACAGGAATCAGATTTACTGAGGAAGAAAGTACAGTTTTTACATAGTTATTTTTCAAAGCAGCACCACATTGCATCGTTGTTGTATGATTCAGGTTATTTGTATAAAATGTCTGTCCGAGGGTAGCTGGTCCCTGTGAGTAGTTCAGACCCAGCTCCCCTACATCCGAGCAGGTGCTCACAATTGAGCCAGTTAAAGGGGGCAGGACGGCACCTAGGGCTAGAAAGACTTGTCAGGGCCTTGTCAGTATAAAAATAAAATACATTTGGAAAGAAACATTCTAGTGGTATCAAAACAGATCTATAGGGCCTTCAAAGATAAATTGTCATTGGAAATATTTCAGTATCTTCCACTGACATAGTACTAACTCCTTATGTGCCGCTCTGAGGTTTATTTTGTTTTGCTAAGATTTTGCATAATTAGAATACACACTGCCATCTAAGAGAGAACCAAGAATATACTTTTAAGTTATCTAGAGCTGGTGCCAACTCAAAAGTCAAGATCCTGTTTTAAATGTCCCTGAAGTTTAGGGGTGCTTTGATATGGGGTTTTGATCATTTGGAGATTGATCTAAAACTCATTGGAATCAGTTGAGGCACTCATTAACTTAAATGTCAGTTGGATCAGGCCCTCAGAAACTAGTCTTAATGTACTGCAGTCTAATTACACACACTGGCATTTTCATCATCATGGGGCCATAAATTGTTGGATTATTCAAAGAAAAAGTACTTTGCTTCCCAGTTTAATGGGAGATTTTATTGCAGCCTTTAAGATAATTTTCAGTATACCAACTGTCAGTGAAATTAAGGGGATTTGGACTGTTGTTCATCTTTATATTATAACAGAGTAGATATTGTAATTATGTGTTTATAAACAGTTATGTTGCATGAGCAGTAGGTGATACACTTCATAGGAAGTAATTCAATCATTTAACTTCAAAGATAAAAAGAACTTTGACCCCATTCTGTGTTAAGAGCCTACAACATTTTGCATCTGTAATCTATCCAGAAAAGATTTCCCACTCTGTCCCCAGCTAAGAGAATACTGTCCAAACTAATTTCAATCTAATTTTATTCAAAAGGAACCAAACAACCACTCCAAAACAATTAACCTTCTGAAGATCAGAACTTGCAGGCTAAAAACTAACCTGAAGTGAAGGAAATGGTCTGATTTATTAACTTCTCAGATCCAGGGTTTTATAGTGGAAAAACACAACACATGCAGTAAGGTCAGAATAGGATGGAAAACAGGTGCACATAACTAGCAACCTGATCAATAAAACTTTGGTTATAGAAAATGTAATGATGGTGAAAGAACAGTAAGCATATCTCTAAGAAATGACCCAAGAGACAAGAGGTAAGAATTTGTTCACAAATGGGATACAGGAATGAAATGGTGCTTCAGTTTCTTACAGTGTTGTTTTAGCCATGTTGGTCACAGGTTATGAGAGAGACAAGGTAGGTGAGGTAATATCTTTTACTGGACCGACTTCTGTTGATGGAAGGTACAAACTTCTGAGCATCACAGAGCTCTTCAGGTTTGAGGAAGGAAACTAGAATGTCTAAACTAATTACAAGTTGAGAGGTTGTTAGGCATAAGGGGTTTAAGTGTCCTGTAGGCAGTGCCGGCTCTAGGCACTAGCCAAGGAAGCAGGTGCCTGGGGTGGCAAATCTGAAGGGGCCACACTCCATTCCTTGTTGGGGTGGCACTCCAACTCCCCTCCCCCCTTTCTTCGGCGGCAGTCCGGAGGCAGCTTTTCCATTTCTTCTTCTTCGGCGGCACTGCGGCCGCTTTTTTTTTTCCCTTTGCTTCGCCACTTGGGGTGGCAAAAAAGGTAGAGCCGGCCCTGCCTATAGGAGACCACTTAAAATGAAGAGGGCAGTTCAGGGTTAGCAGGCAGTGGGTGTGACATTGCTCTCCATATGATTTTATGAAAATATGCTAATAAGTGTGAATTAATAATGTAACTGGAATATGCTTCATGCAAAAGGTCTCTTGTAAGGTATCATTACAAAGTTTATAATCTGAGTGTGGTCATCCTATTTGTATGAATGTATCATTCTTGTATCTGAAACTAGAAATATGAAATATCACTGAGGCCCTCTTGTAATTATGCAAAGTGTGGGCCATTAATGGTGGTTTGGAATCTTGATTCCTCCCATTAACCAGGATAATTGACGGTAGATGGAGACTTGGGGTCTCACGGGACATGTGACCATGTCACCTGGTACTGAAAGCCATCTTAAACCTGGTGCTTTTCCATTTAGAAGGAGGAGTGGGGACCCAAAGAGTCAAAAGATTCCTGCCTTGTGGCAAAGGTAAGGGGGTGGAACAGAACAAAGGGGGCTGCAGTCATGAGAAATCCCCTAGCTACCACCTGAGCTGGAACAAGTACTGTACCAGGGGAAAGGATTGGGCCCAGACTAGAAAGGCGTCTAACTTGTGAAAGACGCTTACTGGGACATCTGAGGGTGAGATTTACCTGCATTTAGATTCCTACTGTATTAGGTTTAGACTTGCGTGATTTTGTTTTATTTTGCTTGCTAATTTACTTTGTTCTGTTATTACTTGGAACCACTTAAATCCTACCTTTAATACTTAATAAAATCATTTTTTTGCTTATTAATTGACCCTGAGTAAGTAAGTAATTCCTGGGGGAGCAAACAGCTGCGCATCTCTCTCTCTCTCTCTCTCTCTCTCTCTCTGTGTTATAGAGGGCAGACAATTTATGAGTTTACCCTGTATAAGCTTTATACAGAATAAAATGGATTTATTTGGGGTTTGGACCCCATTGGGAACTGGGTACAGGAGCACATTCTAAGATGTTTTCTGTTAAATCTGTAGCTTTTGGGGGACGTGGTTCAGACCTGGGTTTGTGTTTGCAGCAGGCTAATGTGTCTGGCTCAACAAGACAGGGTACTGAAGTCCCAAGCTGGCAGGGAAAACTGGCTCAGAGATCGTCTCAGCACTTCAGGTGGCAGTCCAAAGGGGGTCTCTGTGACCGAACCCGTCACAGTGGGGTACGATACAAATTGTTGTAGGGAGACATAAAACTAATGTCTGAGTGTCCATGGTTTTTAGTGTCTAGCAGAGTTATGAATTTAAGTTCCCAGGCTCAGCTTTTGAGAATGTTGTACAGGTTTCCTTTGAGAATGAGAAAAGACAGAGTGATTCGCTTTTTGAAAAGTGTTCGCCCACAGGTGGTGATGTTGGTTTTTTTTTGTCTTTTATCCTTTCTGTATGAGACTTTATGCAGGAGCATAGTGATTGTCTGGCTTCATCCACTTAGTTGTTGCTGGGGCATTTAATGCACTGGGTGAGGCACACCACATATTGTGACAGGCATATGTAGGACCCAGGAATCCTGAAAGGGCTATTATGGGGGATCATCACAGCAATGGAAATATATCTGAAGGTTTTGTCTGAACAACACTATATAGGCACTGTCTGATTCAAACTTCTCTATTTCACAGATATCATTCTCCATTAGTGACAACTGAATTGTCCCTTCTTCCCCAAATGCTGCATCAGCAGAATTCAGAAGGCTACCTGAAGAAAACCAATAAACAGAATACAAAGAAGAACAATAACCACTTGTAATTACAGGCTAACTGATTAATAAAAACATGACTCTTCGTAGTCAGGACTGCAGCAGCAGAGAGATCAAATGGAAAAAGAGGAAAGAGCTATGGTTATCAAAATATCTACTTGCCCACAAAATACGCTACCAACATTCACGGACCTATAGTATTGCTTAGGGCTTTCTTCTGTCCTGCACTTCTCTTGGTCCTGGTTAGGTTAACTTTTTAGGATATCTTCTGCCCTGTGTAGCTGCACACAATTCCTACCAATGTGAATGGGAGGCCCATTAGCATACAGGGTGAAATTCATCCTTGCGCAGAGAGCAGATACAAGGCCCATGCACCACTTAAATTCACTTAAGAACTATTTTTAAGGCTTAAATGGCACTCAGAGTTGGCCTTCTGCACAGGGGGGAATTTCACAGGAAGAAGGCAGGGTGTGGCTCTTACAAGCATTGTAGCTGAAACCATTGGTAAATAGATACTTCAGCTCCATCCCTGTCTACAGCTGGATCTTATATTTGAATGTTTCCTTCTCTTCAATCAGATTTCCAATAGACCCTGTGAAGCTGACCATGCACATCTATACAATCCTTCTACATTGCTGTCTTTCAGCAATTAATTAGCTTTAAAAAATGCTATTTATTTTGAATATAGCTCTGTTACTCTCCCCTGCACCCAGTCACTCTTGGCACCTTTGTATCCTGTCTGCATTATGTTAAAAGCAAGTAATTGGCTTGGATATAAAAAGTTTAGATTTATGTGTTCTGCAATTTCTTAAATTTCATACACTGGAACACTTAAACTTGAAAAACTCGGATTTTATACAAAAACTGTCAACCCAAGGGACAGCCCAGTGATTTATGCCTAGAAATAAAGGCTGAAGTTCCAGGATTGCCAAATTGCTCACTTGAAAAACACAGTGACTGGAAGAAGGGAAGGAGCCCTCTGAATTAGTAGTTACTCTCTCACTGAACAATAGTTTGCTGTTAAGTGTCATCCTCCTTTGATGGATCACTCCTGGTTACCCCAGTGAAGAATTATTTCCTTCCTGAGGACTTGTCACCCATGAATAAGATACTCAAAGTTGAAGTTACTCTCCTTGAAAAAAGATGGATTAATTTTTTTTTTAAGATTGTGATTGTTAAATGCGTCACCTTCTTTGTTACGGCATCTAAAACTGTGTGCCAGTTCTCAAGACTTGATGGGACTGCAGCTATGGCTTTTGAGGTTAGCTAATTCTTCATGGAAAATATGAACTTCATCCAAATTGAAATTATTGTTAAAAGTTAAATTAAGTAAT